ACGTATGTCTGTATCTGACTGGGATATCGGGGGCCCTGTAAGATCTATGAGTTACGTATGTCTATAACTGACTGGACTATCAGGGGCCCTGTAAGATCTACAGGTTACGTATGTCTATAACTGACTGGACTATCAGGGGTTACCTATATCTGTAACTGACTGGACTATCGGGCCCCTTGTAAGATCTACGGGTTATGTATGTCTATAACTGACTGGACTATTGGCCCCCCTGTCAGATCTATGGGTTATGTATGTCTGTAACTGACTGGACTATCGGCCCCCTGTAAGATATATGGGTTATGTATGTCTCTAACTGACTGGACTATGGGGCCTGTTGTAAGATCTATGTGTTATGTATGTCTATAACTGTCTGGACTATCGGGGCCCTGTAAGATCTATAGGTTACGTATGTCTATAACTCACTGGACTATCGGAGGCCCTGTAAGATCTATGGGTTACGTATGTCTCTAACTGACTGGACTATCGAGGGCCCTGTCAGATCTATAGGTTACGTATGTCTATAACTGACTGGACTATCGGCCCCACTGTAAGATCTATGGTTTACGTATGTCTATAACTGACTTGACTATCGGCCTCCCCTGTAAGATCTATGGGTTACGTATGTCTCTAACTGACTGGACTATCGGGGACCCTGTAAGATCTATGGGTTATGTATGTCTATAACTGACTGGACTATCGGGGCCCAGTAAGATCTATGGTTTACGTATGTCTGTATCTGACTGGGCTATCGGGGGCCCTGTAAGATCTATGAGTTACGTATGTCTATAACTGACTGGACTATCAGGGGCCCTGTAAGATCTACAGGTTACGTTTATCTGTAACTGACTGGACTATCGGGGACCATGTAAGATCTATGTGTTATGTATGTCTATAACTGTCTGGACTATCGGGGCCCTGTAAGATCTATAGGTTACGTATGTCTATAACTCACTGGACTATCGGAGGCCCTGTAAGATCTACTGACTGGTTACTGACTGGACTATCAGGGGCCCTGTAAGTTCTACAGGTTACGTAATCTATAACTGACTGGACTATCGGACCCCTTGTGAGATCTACGGGCTATGTATGTCTATAACTGACTGGACTATCGGGGCGCTGTAAGATCTATAGATTACGTATGTCTATAACTGTCTGGACTATCGGGGGCCCTGCAAGATCTATGGGTTACGTATGTCAATAACTGACTGGACTATCAGGGGCCCTGTAAGATCTACAGGTTAAGTATATCTGTAACTGACTGGACTATCAGGCCCCTTGTAAGATCTACGGGCTATGTATGTCTATAACTGACTGGAATATCGGCCCCCCTGTAAGATCTATGGTTTACGTATGTCTGTATCTGACTGGGCTATCGGGGGCCCTGTAAGATCTATGAGTTACGTATGTCTATAACTGACTGGACTATCGGGTGTCCTCTAAGATCTATAGATTACGTATGTCTATAACTAACTGGACTATCGGGGGCCCTGTAAGATCTATGGGTTACGTATGTCTATAACTGACTGGACTATCAGGGGCCCTGTAAGATCAACATGTTAAGTATATCTGTAACTGACTGGACTATCAGGCCCCTTGTAAGATCTATGGGTTATGAATGTCTATAACTGACTGGACTATCGGCCTCCCCTGTAAGATCTATGGGTTACGTATGTCTCTAACTGACTGGACTATCGGGGACCCTGTACGTAACTGGATCTATGGGTTACGTATGTCTCTAACTGACTGGACTATCGGGGGTCCCCACAGACCTCTAGGTGACGGCTGTCGAGAACTTACCGGTCCAGCTCGGGCCCTGTAAGATCTATGGGTTACGTATGTCTATAACTGACTGGACTATCGACCCCCCTGTAAGATCTATGGGTTACGTATGTCTATAACTGACTGGACTATCGGGGCCCTGTAAGATCTATAGGTTACGTATGTCTATAACTCACTGGACTATCGTGGGCCCTGTAAAGATCTATGGGTTACGTATGTCTATAACTGACTGGACTAACTGACTGGATGTCTGTAACTGACTGGACTATCGGCCCCCTGTAAGATCTATGGGTTACGTATGTCTCTAACTGACTGGACTATCGGAGGCCCTGTCAGATCTATAGATTACGTATGTCTATAACTGACTGGACTATCGGCCCCCCTGTAAGATCTATGGGTTATGTATGTCTGTAACTGACTGGACTATCGGGGGCCCTGTAAGATCTATGGGTTACGTTTATCTGTAACTTACTGGACTATCGGGCCCCTTGTAAGATCTATGGGTTACGTATGTCTATAACTGACTGGACTATCGAGGGGGCCCTGTAAGACTCTATGGGTAAGATCTATGGGTTACGTATGTCTCTAACTGACTGGACTATCGGGGACCCTGTAAGATCTATGGGTTATGTATGTCTATAACTGACTGGACTATCGGGGCCCAGTAAGATCTATAGGTTACGTATGTCTATAACTCACTGGACTATCGGGGGCCCTGTAAGATATATGGGTTACCTATGTCTATAACTGACTGGACTATCAGGCCCCTTGTAAGATCTACAGGGGCTATGTATGTCTGTATAACTGACTGGACTATTGGCCCCCCTGTCAGATCTATGGATTATGTATGTCTGTAACTGACTGGACTATCGGAGGCCCTGTAAGATCTATGGGTTACGTATGTCTCTAACTGACTGGACTATCGAGGGCCCTGTCAGATCTATAGGTTAGGTTTGTCTATAACTAACTGGACTTTCGGCCCCCTCTAAGATCTATGGTTTACGTATGTCTATAACTGACTGGACTATCGGGGCCTGTGTAAGATCTATGGGTTACGTATGTCTCTAACTGACTGGAAGATCGGTGGCCCTGTAAGGTCTATGGGTTACTTATGTCTATAACTGACTGGACTAACAGGCCCCTTGTAAGATCTACGGGCTATGTATGTCAATAACTGAGGCCCTGTAAGATCTATAGGTTACGTTTATCTGTAACTTACTGGACTATCGGGCCCCGTATGTCTATGGGTTAACTGTCTATAACTGGACTATCGGCCCCCCTGTAAGATCTATGGGTTATGTATGTCTGTAACTGACTGGACTATCGGCCCCCTGTAAGATCTATGGGTTACGTATGTCTCTAACTCACTGGACTCTCGGGGGCCCTGTAAGATCTATGGGTTACGTATGTCTATAACTGACTGGACTATCGGGCCCCTTGTCAGATCTATGGGTTATGTATGTCTATAACTGACTGGACTATCGACCCCCCTGTCAGATCTATGGGTTACGTATGTCTCTAACTGACTGGACTATCGAGGGCCCTGTCAGATCTATAGGTTACGTATGTCTATAACTGACTGGACTATCGGTGGCCCTGTAAGATCTATGGGTTACGTATGTCTCTAACTCACTGGACTCTCGGGGGCCATGTAAGATCTATAGGTTACGTATGTCTATAACTGACTGGACTATCGGGTGTCCTCTAAGATCTATAGGTTACGTATGTCTATAACTAACTGGACTATCGGGGGCCCTGTAAGATCTATGGGTTACGTATGTCTATAACTGACTGGACTATCAGGCCCCTTGTAAGATCTACGGGTTATGTATGTCTATAACTGACTGGACTATCATGGGCCCCCCTGTCTATATCTGTCTATAACTGACTCTGTAAGATTATGGGTTATGTATGTCTGTAACTGACTGGACTATCGGCCCCCTGTAAGATATATGGGTTACGTATGTCTCTAACTGACTGGACTATCGGAGGCCCTGTAAGATCTATGGTTTACGTATGTCTCTAACTGACTGGACTATCGAGGGCTCTGTCAGATCTATAGGTTACGTTTGTCTATTACTAACTGGACTATCGGCCCCCCTCTAAGATCTATGGTTTACGTATGTCTATAACTGACTGGACTATCGGGTGCCCTGTAAGATCTATGGGTTACGTATGTCTATAACTGACTGGACTATCGGGGGCCCTGTAAGATCTATAGGTTATGTATGTCTCAAACTGACTGGACTACCGGGGTTCACTATAAGATCTATGGGTTACGTATGTCTGTAACTGACTGGACTATCGGCCCCCTTTAAGATCTATGGGTTACGTATGTCTCTAACTGACTGGACTATCGGGGGCCCTGTAAGATCTATAGGTTACGGATGTTTATAACTGACTGGACTATCGGGGGCCCTGTAAAATCTATGGGTTACGTATGTCTATAACTGAGTGGACTATCAGGGGCCCTGTAAGATCTACAGGTTACGTATATCTGTAACTGACTGGACTATCGGGCCCCTTGTAATATCTACGGGTTACCTATGTCTATAACTGACTGGACTATCGGGCCCCCTGTAAGATTAATGGGTTATGTATATCTGTAACTGACTGGACTATCGGCCCCCTTGAAGATCTATGGTTTACGTATGTCTCTTACTGACTGGACTATCGCCCCCTGTAAGACATATGGGATACGTATGTCTATAACTGACTGGGCTGTTTGGGCTGCGGTGAGATGTGTTACATATGTTGATTACTGTGTTATACATGTTCTATAAATTTTGTAGTAGGATTATAATGTAATTGTGAAGCGCATTAGAGTATTTTGTCAAAATAGATAGTGCGCTATATAAATGTTGTATATTATTATTATTATTATTATAAGATCAACCATTTCTACCCATCGCTCCAGTGCGCCAAACCTATATTACATAATGTATGTGGTACATGTACTATGAAGCATCATTTGTAAAACATAATCACCCCAGTAAACAGTCGCCTGAAGGAGTAACACAAATATATAAACCTTTTTTGTTGTTGTTGTTGTTGTTGTTGTTGTTGTTGTTGTTGTTGTTGTTGTTGTTGTTGTTGTTGTTGTTGTTTCCAAGTTCAAAAAACACTATTTTAAACATTTCAACATTCTCATTATTCACAAATCATGCAAGGTTTTCGAAAGAGGTCTCCTCACGAAAGATCGGCCTCCTCACGAAACATCACTAAGTAGGTTTACGACAGAAGTCAATTGCTACCAATAATCCACCTATCCCGGCCAGAAGTCCGCCAGCGATAGAAAGTCCGAAAGACCAGCTTAGATTCAGAACCAGTTCATCTACGTCCCCTGTCAGGAATCCATGGCGAATCTTATAGGCCCATAAAATGGCCATTGAAAGGATACATGCAGCTGAAAAACAATAATCCACTGAAAAGATTTAGCAACAGAAATTATAGTCAAGATATATACATCATTACTTGAAAAATGACAAACGCATTTTAAGATAACGTCTTACTTTCTAGAAAAGAACCGGAAAAATATAGTTTTGGCATTCTGAAATATATGTGTTGGTATGTCATTTCGTATTTATACGAAATTATCAAATTCAAATATAATAAGAGAATAAGCATTTTTAGTATGAAAGATCAACCCATTATTTCAATTTGGTCTTGATATTTGACGTTAATCATTTAAACACCATACACCAAATATTTACAACGGATCAATACGCGAAAATTGTTTGAAGTTTGCCTTGAAGTTAACTCAATTTGATCGTAAATTATGGAAGCAGATTATCTATTCTTAGAATTCGTAGATATTCTTCGATTTATCGCTTTGATCATCACAATCACCACAACAGGGAAAAAGTATATCAAAGCTGAAGAGATTGTGTTCTGTATCAAAAAATAACCTTTCTTTGAGGATGGCAAAGGGTACTTTAAAGTTTCTACGATAAACAAAAATCATTTTCACATCTTGACGAATAAGTAATATTCTATCAGAATGTACCTTAATTTGAATTAACGGGCAGTATACTAGTGTTTTCTACAACCTTATACAAGTTAACGTTCGTCGTCTCGTGATCTATTCTTTAAGTTTCTTACAGAACTTTACAGTTTTTTTGTTCTTTCAAGTAATACAATGATATGAGGTTAGCCAGGCCTACATGCCTCTGCGACATATCAGTATAAGATTTCGGTCAATATTTTTTGTTCTAAGCATAGAAATAATGAACGCTCTTTAATGAGCCATTCCTATGGTTAAAGTGAGGTTCCACAAACTCATTATAGTATTTTTGTACAAGTGCGGGAACATATTTGGTAAAGTTTGTAAGATAGAACAAGCTTATGTGCCTTCCTTGTTGCAGCAAAGGTACACAGCAAAGCATGTTACATTTACGATGTGAGGTACCGCCCAGTAACCAGCTATGATTCGAGGTGATTCTTTTTTAATAGAATTAAGTTAACTTGACAGAATATCACCAGAAGTGTCATGTTTATCAATAGCTCATATATCAATGAGAGAAAAAAGCGAGTCCTGTAACAAAATTGCTTTAAGAACAAAATAATGATGACTCAGACTACGTTTTTTTACCGTCGAAGCTATCGCGTGACGCACTGTTTCTGTGGTGTTACACATTAATACTACCTATAAACATATTCAACAATGAAATGATAAAACAGTAATGTTATATGATAAATTCGATTTCTGAAACAATATACAAGTTCATCACGTGACTGACCACCAAAGAAGGCTGCTAATGTAGTCAAAATGAAGACGATCTTGTGGGAGGCCTTAGACAGGACGACCGTACACAACAGCTCCAAGACGGCTGCATTAGCGACAACCACCGCACCGACAATAATAGTTGCCCGACATACTTTAAACCAAATAGGCAAGATCTCTGAAAAAGCAACGAATGCAAATTTAAGTTACCGTAACAATTATCTATGTACTTCATTTGAGCCTAAATGACAACATTTCAGAGGTTTAATACAATTAGCGAAATTGTGGTATGTCCATGTACAATTTACATGTATTAAATGTATACATATTTAAAACCACATTCTTCTAGAGTTATCCCCCCTACATTGACAATGTTTACAACAGGTTTTATGCTCTCGGGAATGTGTTGTTGACCAATTTGATGATCACATATTTCTCTTGTGTAATTGAAATGAAATAATTCCATCTATTTTCAGGGCTATTATATGTCACTTATTTAGACAGTGTGTCTATCTTTAGTATTTTTAGCAAGCGTGTGTACTAGTTTGGAAATGGATAGCGTCAAAGATATACATGTTAGAACTGTTGTTACTGACCATTCGTATGGTCTGCCGAGGTGGAGGGAGGTAACATAATATTCGATTTCTGTAAGGAAATTCACGTTGAGAAACAGGCAAGGCATTTTTTTCATATATATAATGGGGAAATAATTTTGCTACAAAACGTTATCATATCATACAGCAGATATAGATTTAGGAAATTGCTGTAAGAGGTACCAGAGACAGAGGTTGAAACATTTGAGCGCTTGAAGTATTACAGTGATAGGGCTGTACAGCAAGACCTTTAAGTTAGATATCTTACTGTCATCAGCGGTGGAGAACTGAAGGTGACAAAGTTGGGGTGGTGATAAGGACAGGCTAAGAATGGACATTTGATGATGCATCCAGGAAACCTGACAGCACACTGGAGCAGCAGGACATCTTAGAAAATATTTGTGTTGATAGAAGAGGGCTGGGAGCAGATCACATTCAGCAATGGAGCAAAGCAGAAGGCAAGGGAAGATGGGACAGAATTGTAATAGTGGTGAGATCAGAGGAGAAACAACGGCGCATATTTGATTTAAACATATTTTATTTGTACAAAGTATACAAGCAGGATTGGGCACAAGTTTTCTAACTTATATAAAGCCCTTTCCTATAAAATTTTACATAATACATATTAGCAAGACAAGACGACATGTTTAAATACAATTATATTATACGAAAAAAAAACGAGAGAGAGAGAGAGAGAGGGAGAGAGAGAGGGAGAGAGAGAGAGAGTTTAAATAACTTCATGTAGAGCGGTCTCTCCTGATACAAACAACACAAGTAAAAATACAAAACGCTTTTCATAACTTTCAAACTTTTCTACAGTTCATCACATCCCGTGCGAATATCGCTTTCTCCTGGCATCCGGGTCCTTCATAAAAAAAAAAAAAAACGTCACCACTTGTGTCGGAGCAAGGAGTGACCAAATATTTTTACATTTATCACGGAAGGAGATAGAGGGAGGTAGATAGAGAGATAAAGATCAAAATCTGTTTGAATTAAGTATATATTGCTGAGTGATTTGACATATTTTTACATTATCTTCATATGAGTAGATAATACTACCATGTAGGAGTAACTGCAGGTCTAGAGGGATAAAATTATTTAGTTCTCGGTACAGAATGGCTCTCTGGTCCGAATAAATATTACAAACAAAAAAATAGTGGTAAGTATCTTCAACAGGGTGTCCACATTGACAGAAACGATGATCTATTAGATTGGATCTGAAAAGATCATTATTTAAGGTACTGGATTTATTTCTTAACCTAGCGTGTAGTATATTAGCCTTACGACTACCAAGCAAATAATAATATGGAACTAGTGTAGTGGGTCGAAGAGAATGTTTAAAGATAGAGTAAGAAACACTTTGTCTAAGTTCAAGTTCAAGTTGGTTCCAAAGTCGGATAGTGGACGGAAAGAAAGATAAGTTTGTTAGTTGTAGTCTGAAATTTAGTAAAGAATAATTTTGTGCATTACGGAGGTTATATTGTGAATTTTCAGATACTAAAGGGGGCAATAGAGTAGACAGATAATTTGGAGTGAGATTATTAACTATTTTGTAGAAAAGCTGTAGTTTTCTTCTAGTGCGTCTTTCTGATAATGGTTCTAGACCACTCTCAGAATACAGTGATTCTCTACTGGTATAAGAGGGTAAACCAGTGATAATTCTGATAGATTCTAACTGAAGTTTTTCAAGTTTGTCTGCATCACTGAGAGAACACCCATCCCAAACTTCACAACAGTATTCTAATAATGGAAGTATATAAGCCTTATAGATTTTGACTAAAGTTTGTCTATTTAACATGTATTTTAATTTACGTAGGATACTTACGTCAGCATCCGCTATAGATCTATCAAGGTGAGTCTCAGTGACACAGACAATATCAAAATCAGATGTCAAATTTTCTACTTGAGATAATTTATTCCTCAAACTACGGATGTTAAGGTGAAAGATAGATACATCGTTATTTTCAGAGGGGCCAGGGTTAGGATGGATATCATTACAGACTAGTAGAAGGAGGTGCAGTATTATCAGGAAACATGAATTATCAGTTATACAAGAAAGAAGGACATGAAAGAAACAGCACAATCTTGTTAAGATAAATATCACTCTAAACCTGAAGTCATTAAAACACTTAAACATATTCATATAGATGAAAAACTTTTGTGAAATAGGTATACCGGTGATACGAAGATAGAAACAACCGATAGCCGCCCGATACTGGGCTAGATCATTACCCTTGATCGTCAAACAATAACTTAAACATCGAGAGGCCATCGGTCAAATAAACCACAGTTAAATTAAACATGTAATTGTCAAAACACTCAGTCTTAAGGGATGATATATATATAGGTCGTGACAGGAAAGGTGAAAGGTGAGAAAGAAGAAAATATAGAGAAAGGACACATAAACAAAACACCTAAGTATTCTTATGTGGAATGTCATAATAAGATTGATGGAGAGGAAAAATAGAAAATGGTGAAGTACCTAGATTTGTTATAGAATAATTCTATAAAACAATATGAAAATTCTGTAGTCACTAAGTGAATAGACAGTTTAGATCGTGGACTCGGTAGAACATTTCTGAATGCAAGATCACAAGGAGTAATCTGGGAAGTATAGAACAAGCTATCATCTCCTTCATGGTTATGTCGTTATATGATACACTACGATCACAAACAACTTGTGTAGATGGGGCATTTTGGAATATCCAGTTTGTACCCTGTCCGGTGGCAGAGGAACACTAGCACAAGCCCAATTGAGTGGCGGCAGAAGAGGCACGCGACAGAGGCACGCGACAGAACACAGAACCTATTTACCGTTTGTGAGAGACAGAAAAATACCCAAATGCTACTCGATGTCATTTGATCTTACTTAGCCAAGCGCCAACCTTGGAAAAGATAAGCTGAGAGCAAGCCACAACAAACGTCCCATCTCTCCTGATGTTTTGCATAACACACTGAGACAAGACATCGGGGTAAGGCTGCAGCGGAGCCAGAAAATCATCGTGACGTAGCTAATTAGATGTCATCTCCAGTACTCCATGCCAGAACCATACGAAAGTAGCGATTGGGTTCAGCAAGAACCGAGGAATAAAAAAATTCATAAAGTATTCATTTCGGTAAAATGATAAATAACATTACTACTTCATCCCTGATGTATATCACGTTTAGGTATACAAGTTAGGATTCAAATCTTTCAAACTTCTTTGATATGATGTAATAATGGCATATGAAGTATAATATATACATGCTCTTTTTGTGTATACTTGTGTAAGTAAAGATGTTTTTTAGTGTAGTTATATGTTATACATGTACCATTAGAAAAGGAAAAGAACTTAGATAGACAATACATACCATTGGGGTAGCTCTGACATATCATTTGAGATAATATATTTTCATTTTCACAACTACTCCACAGACCATATGATACACTGCCTTCGAATCTACTCTCAGGAATGTTAATATAGCTCCAGTTTGGGGTGGCTAATCCAATGATATGTAAAGTCAAAGCAACCGGAAAGATGAAGAGGTTTATCCTCATCAGAATAGAGGACTCGGAGAAGCTCATGTCTGTTCACTGATCCTAAACGAGCTGGAGTGGAAATCACACATAAAGCATGCACATGTTGTCGCCTTTTATTTGACATATATCCCATGCAGTGGTTGACTTGCAGCCAGTTACTTCAACATATTTCCGTTTCCATGTATGAAACAGAAAGTAATGCAAGGGTATCGAATTTTTTTTTTTCGATCTTCTGCGATAAATATATTAGTCGCTTAGACTCTCGTACTAATGTCTTATTCTGTCATCTATCTGCTGAATATAATCTGGCACAATAAATTGTGATTAAATTGTTGGCGGAGATGTTGCCAATAAAACGGATTTGTGTAAGAGTTTATTTATGTGAGGTTCTTTTAAATCGATTTCAAACTATATCCGTCATTTGTATCAAGCAATCTGTTATTTACAAGAAGTATATTCTCAAGGATGTGTTAGGTTGTATATATTTCAGGAAAAAATAGGAAAACTGATATGGTATATAATAAACCATTTTTAATGTAATATAGATTCATTTCTAAGTGCTTGACAACCACTGCATGAACTCCCACGTATTGAAAACGGTTATAGACAGGTGAAATTCACTTGCAAGCAAAATTAAAATATAAATATAACTGTAATGACAGGTTAAAATAGATTATAGAATTAGCTCAGTTCGTGTGGTAAATGCTTTTTGGTCGAGATCTTAATAAATGAAATAACTGATAATTAAAAAAAACCAATGAATTCGCCATTTTTTTTTTTTAAGAAATAATTATTCTTTGTTAGTTTTGTCCTGTATTTACAATTTCAATATCTGCAATAACACGAAGGTATCAGCCACTAATGTTGCAATCCAGATAATTGATATGCTGAATGTGAAATTACCTTTATCCAATCACTTTCTGTGTCCTATTTCGGTTGCCTGTTGTATGTCTAAAATACAAGGACATGAGAGGATATCGGTGTCGTTATCAGCCCTCTAAGATAAAGTAGCTGAAGCGACAAACTGTAACTTGTCCGCTTATCTCTTATGTGTTTGATTTAGAA